GTCATGAAGATGTAGGGCCTTTTTCATCCTTAATTAGGATTAATAATTATTATTAGTGTAACAACTGCTAATACTTTATTGGCAACTTTAATTTACCTTGCATCATTCATGGATTAATTAGTTAGGATGCTTTATAAAGTCTGAGTTAATTTTTACCTTTACTTAGGAAAATGATAGAATGACCTTAGTGTTTTCAATTTTTCTTTTACCATTTAATATAATTATATACGGATTTGAGTTATATATATTGATAGTGTAAATAAAAGCACTCTGAAGTATATTTCGAGTCTACAAGTTACGTGTGTCTTCTTAAGGAATTATAATCCCCTCACTATTGTTAAGGATTTGAGTTACTTCCCCTAAAATAAGACGGGAAATATATTTATATAATAGCAGTAATTATGTAAATTACAGAACTCCAACGAACTCAACAACTGCGTCAAATTATACGACGCTTAATTTGTTTTCGGGAATGAAGGGAAGAAAGAGCATTTTCTATATCTCAATATATAAAATCTGAGACAAAATTTCTGAATTTATAGACAACGAAAAAGTGAGATGAAGAGGTGTAATTGCATTCTCATTCACATATAAAAACTTCCAACATATAGTTTGAGTATCGATTTAACGGAGTCTAGTAACTTTGAGCTAAATCTTGATTAAAGTTTTAAAATTAAAAAAAATTAAATCTTAAATCCGTCTCTCTAGTGTAATAAACACAAGTATAATTCTATGACCCCACTATGAGAGCACATTTTTTGTCGGCAAGATTAATTTTATATGTTATAAACTAATTAAATTAAGTATAATTATACAATCTCTGACAAGCTAACTTCATGGAGCCAATTGAGACTAATCAGTATGTTTTAACGGATATATACAGAATTCCCATAAACTAATTATTGAATTTTAAAGCAAAGTGTATAATATATGATCATTTCTTTCTAGCGCATGGTTTGTTTTAATTATAAATAATTTTGGGAGCCTTCGTATTCAATTTATAATGGAGTCTGATTAATTTATATTTACGAATTTCAAGATTTATTTTTGTGCACCGTGGGGGGTTCAGAGGGGGCATTCTGAACAAGATTTTACTATTTCCTTTGACCCGACTCCTGAGCCCAAAATCTTTGATTATAATGATGGAGGGATCTCAATCATTCTATCACAATCCACGTTTATTGAATTTAAGTAATATATATTTATTTGTCAGTGTAAATATTGTAAGATTCAAATTCTACATTTTAAAGGAGCTTACATTATGGCAAAGTCAGAAATTTCATCTAGGAATACCATAATTTAAAATATATATGTGTAAAAAAATAATTTTTAACCTATATACTTCAAACAATTTTCTTATGTACATAATATAATTTTTCGACGAAGGGTGTTCGACTAACCATCTTGAACTATACGTAGCTACGCTACAGCTTACATATATATTCTTTAAATAATTTGATAGTGTAAAAATTATTTACCGTCATAAAACTTGGACACTATTTTAATTGTACAAATAATTGGAAAGTCTATCTGGCTGATGTGAAAACTGGGTTATATAAGGGGAAACAAAAGAACAAAATATCCTTTACTTAGATTTTAAGTCACTGTACCCATTGTCCTACATATATATTTGTATTCATTTTATTATAATATATAGTATTTTAGAAAATTATATGATCTATGAAAGAGCCTCTGGCTTTAGTTTGAATGTCTTTATCCTTTTACAGTATTTATCACGAGCAAGACATTACACCATATCCTAAAATTGATGTGTTAACCGTTAGAGAAATGTGGAAATTAATTTATTTGTATTTGTCACGATCTAAGTTCATGAATATACTACTCATCCGCTTTAATCTAACATGATCTCACATGAGCGCTTCAAAAGATAAATGTATGGGTACCTGATCGAGTCTTAATATAAAAACTTATGTTATGTCCTTATATAGCACTTCATTTTTCTTCTCTTTTTTTGTTGTGTGATTTGTCTTTAACGTCATATCATATATATTCTTTATTCAAAAGACTTTCAATTTATTTTTTTGATCCGTTTTCTGTCATGAGCGTCACAACACTTATAATAGAAGCTAGTATTTTAGGGAAGATTGTTGTATTTGTCGTGTTTTAGGATATTGTTACCATAGTTTTAGGTCAATTGTATACTTTCTATATGTACTCATGTAGTCTGTATAAAACGATAACTAACTAGCTATCACATGTTAAAATTTCAAAGATATTATAAATAAAAGAGATAAGTGGTTAAAACACACCTAAACTATACCTTTTTTTTGAGTTTCATACCCGAACTATCGAAAGTCTGAGAAACACACCTAAACTATTACATTTTATTTTGAAAAACACACCTCAAGTAAAATATGATAGTGTGTGTATTACACTCTCTCAATTATTATTTTTTAAATGCCACATAGATTGCCACATGGAAACAAATTCCACCATGTCAAAAGATTAAAGTTTAACTTTCAACATGTAGAAGCATCTTTCTCTGTTCTCAGTTGAGTCTCTTTGGTGTGTGAAAATTTGAGTAAATTTAGGGTTTTCACTATTAATTCACAAATTCATCATGATTTCAAGGTTAGTTACTCATTTGTCAAAAAATGTTAGGGTTCTTATTTTCGTCTCAAAATAGTAACGATTTTGTATAATTTTTTAGGTTTTGATCCACACCATCTGAAAAGAGTTGAAAGGAGAAGAAATTGACTACATAAGGTACTCTTTCTTTACTCCTGAACTTAATTTTCGTACTGGTGGCGATTTTTAGCTACTGATTTCATGAACAATAGTTGGCTTATTAAACTTTGCATATTTCAATTGTTCTAAGGTAATGGACACTAAGTACGTAAATTTGAGGTTTCACATCGGTGGTATACTTGTGAGTGAGGTAG